TAAAAGGTTCCTTTATTAACTAAAAAAAAAGAAAGGCCATGATCGTCTCTCCTCGCTCCTCGACCCGTGTGCCAGACCCAAGCCAGGTGGGGTGACTTGTTCGTCAGGTTTTTTGTTTCGTTCCGGAGGAGGATTTGGGTTGTTTAGCCTGAAGCCAAAATGATGAGCCGTGTTCGATCGTCTTTGTTCCTAGCACCAAATCTTTCCTCCCTACAGACTGAACTTTCATCTCAGGAAAGAACAGGGTTAGTTGGATTGGTGTAGGCGGAGCATATCCAATCTATCGCATGTTCAGTTAGTGCAGCAGCAACCTTGTCCTTCTTTGCGCTGTAAAGAGTAAAGACAGAGGCAGGGTGCCCTGCGGCCACAAATGTTTCCCTTGACAGGGAGTAGGGACATCTTGGTGCTTATGAGGTCACATCGTCGTGCTATAACCAAGTGTTCCTGAATCCTGGATGGGGACAGTGATGAGAGGGCACTCGCTGGTTCTCGCCATCCATCTCTCTGAACTAACCATGCATCAGATCCGTGGCCAGTGATAGGACAATTTTCCCGGACACTTGTTTCAAATGATCTGCCATGCCTGTTATTTTTATCCAACATTAGTATCTCAGGAGTCAGGATGCAAAAAATTCTCAGTGAGATGCAATTACAGCTCTCATCTTACACATGGCAAATTGACAATGCATTTTTTGCAGAGTAAAAGTTGCCTCAAGAAGATTCCTCTGCTCTGCTGCATGTTGAATTTGAGCACCACAAGGCTACCGTAACAAGTGTGGATATGAATTGGTGTTGTCTTCCTCGTAGAGGAGCCAAGAAAGAAGAGAATCCTTACTCCAACAGCATAGGCGGTAAGCAAAATGTATTTGCATGCTTCACGATTTGCTGTGTTGGTATGCTAATGCTAGCTGCAAATTATCATGCATTTAGCCAGCACGTATCGGTCTTTAATCAGTTCTGTTTTCAACACTTCTCCCTCTCAATGCCTTGATGCAATTTGGAACAATTGTATGACCTAAGTATATAGCAGAAGTATTTCAGAAATGGCTGTAATGTATTGCAGAAGATAGAATGAATGTACTAGTGCACTATGCCTAACCCATTTCCTTTTGCATTTTTTTAGCATTGCGATATTCCAGTTATAATGCACATTTTGTACTGCTTTCAGGTATTTATTCTGAGAAGAACATAAGGATCTTCTCCTATGCTGAGTTAAGATCTGCCACAGACAACTTCAACCGAACGAACAAAGTAGGTCGAGGTGGCTTCGGTACAGTTTATAAGGTGACAATTCATTTCTTCATCCGTTGTTCAGTTTGAGGGTACAGACCAATGGAGTGATGAATCTCTTTTAGTCTTAGCATATGTTATTTAATGTTGCAGGGAACCATTCGAAATGGGCGAGAGGTCGCGGTAAAAGTTCTTTCTGCTGAATCCAGGCAGGGCATCAGAGAGTTCTTGACAGAAATTGATGTCATTACTAACGTGAAGCATCCCAACCTTGTTGAATTAATTGGCTGCTGCGTTGAAGGAAATAACAGGATTTTGGTATATGAATATCTTAAAAACAACAGTCTTGACCGTGCACTGTTGGGTATGAACCTTGTACTACTGTTACTAAAATTGATGTTTTGCTACATGATAGAATTGCAACATTGACTTTAGTTGCCTTATTAACAATTTACCCTATGCTTCTGCAGGTTCTAACAGTGAGCCTGCTGACTTCACCTGGATCATAAGATCTGCTATATGCCTTGGAGTTGCTCGAGGCCTTGCTTACCTGCATGAAGAGATCGCATCACCGATTGTACACAGAGACATCAAGGCTAGCAATATACTACTTGACAAAAATTACGTCCCCAAGATCGGGGATTTTGGTCTGGCCAAGCTATTTCCTGATAATGTCACCCATATCAGCACCCGAGTAGCTGGAACAACGTGAGTATCGACCTATTTGCAGTTTTGGCACTTGCCTTGATTTGCGATCGTATTTCCTTAGGGTAACTTGATTGTTGGGCTGCTTGCAGAGGCTACCTTGCACCTGAATATGCATGGCATGGCCAGCTAACCAAGAAAGCAGATATATACAGTTTTGGTATCCTTGTCCTGGAGATAGTGAGTGGCACAAGTAGTTCCAGGAGCATACTGATGGATGACAAGGTTCTCCTAGAGAAGGTCAGTCTTTTTCACTTCATCTGCCTGACTGCTTGCTTTTTTTTTCTGAATGTTTTGGCATCCACAAAATACACAGAACTATAGAAGTGTGCAACACCACTTCACAACAACAGCAGCCTGGCAAAATGTTAGCTGAAGTTGCACAGTAAATTGTTTAGTTGTCAAACGATCCCTACCCGGGTGCCACTTTGGCCAGCGTATGTCGCTCTACGCGGATGACTTGGTGCTGTTCCTAGCCCCTACACTGGAGGACTTCCGTTGCATCCGCGCCATCCTCGACCTCTTCGCGGGCGCATCCGGCCTGATCACGAACTTGGATAAGTGTCTCATCTCGCCGATCTGGTGCTCCGAGGAGGACATCGCACTCGTTCAGCAGGCATTCCCCTGCCAGCTTTCGCCCCTACCCTGCCGCTACCTGGGCGCCCCCCTCTCCGTCGGGAGGCTGCGGCGCTCGGATGAGCAGAAGCTAGCGGACACCATCGCCAGCCGTATCCCTACCTGGAAGGGCAAGCTGCTGAATGTGGCAGGAAGGATGACGTTGACCCGCGCCACACTATCTGCCATACCGGTGCACGTGTCCATCACGTGCTCCCTTTCGGCGTGGGCAATCAGGCAGATCGACAGGCGCCGGCGTGCCTTCCTTTGGAGCGGCACTGACGCGGTCGCCGGTGGAAGCTGCAAGGTGGCTTGGCCGGTGGTGTGTACCCCCAAATGCTATGGTGGGCTGGGTGTCCCGGACCTTCGAATTCTCGGGTTTGCACTCAGGCTGAGATGGGAGTGGCAGAAGAGAGAGCCCAGTGCACCGGCCTGGACGCAATTGCCCTCTAAGCCTGAGAGGTTGGTGGACGCCATGTTCAGTTGCTCGGTACGTGTTGAGCTGGGGGACGGGCTCTCAGCTCGCTTCTGGACAGATGCGTGGTTGCCGGCTGGACAGATCAAGGCTTTCTCCCCACACCTGTTCCGGGCCGTGGGCAAATGTTTCCTCAAGACTTCGGTGAAGGACGCCATCTTCCAGCACAAATGGGTGCACCACATCTCTGGAGCTCACACTACACCAGTGCTGCATGAGTACCTGGACCTTTGGGAGAAACTCGAGTCCGTTCAGCTCAGGGCGCTCGTGGGCGACCGCTTCGTATGGCGCTGGACTCCGGACGGCGTCTATTCGGCTTCGTCGTCCTACTGATCGTTCTTCCTCGGCATATCGTCCCTCTTGGGCGCCAGGGAGGTATGGAAGGCCTCAGCGCCACCGAAGGTGAAATTCTTTTTCTGGCTCGCTCTCCATCGGCGCATTTGGACGGCGGATCGCAGGAAGAGGCATGGGTTTCAGGATTCCGCGCAGTGCGTCCTCTGCGGCCAGGCGGACGAGATAGTGGATCATCTGCTTGCTTCCTGCGTTTTCACAAGGGAACTCTGGTTTCGCTTGCTTCGCCCTAGCGGTTGGGAGCAGTTGTCACCTTCTTCTCACTCTCCTCTGTCGACCTTGTGGATGGATGGCCAGTATTCTGTGCCCGCACAGCTTCGCAGGGGATTCGATTCCACCGTCCTCCTGGTCTCGTGGCGGCTCTGGAAGGAGCGTAATTCACGTACCTTTGACAACTCCGTGTCCATGGTCCAGCAGGTTGCGAAGCTGGTGGTGGAGGAGACCGACGAGTGGATCGCCACCGGGTTCGTGGCGATCGCTGAGTTCTTGGTCGCTTCTTCTGTTGTCTAGTGTTTTCGTCGCTCGTTGCACTGTGCTTTTGAGATGTATCCGCTATACCTGTGTCTGTCCGGTTGCTCGTTTCGGTAAGACTGAACTTTCCTATCCTGGCAGCTTGCCGGGATAGTTGCTGTTTGTTTTGTTTACCCTTCTTAATGAAATACACGTGAAGTCGTGTTCTAGAAAAAAAAATTGTCAAACGATTGACATGCACAAATGTTTGTCCAAAAAATGCCTAACTCTGAACATTCACAGCAGACATGGGAGCTATATGAAGCGAAGAGGCTCAAGGAACTGGTGGATCCAGCCCTTGTAGATTACCCTGAGGAAGAAGTCATCAGGTACATCAAGGTGGCCCTCTTCTGCTTACAGGCGGCCGCCGCTCGCCGGCCGACGATGCCCCAGGTCGTGACCATGCTGTCCAAGCCCATCCGGATCAACGAGAGCGAGCTGACGGCGCCAGGTTACCTCCACGAGAACAGGAGGAGCCCCGGGTCCAAGGCCACCGTTTCCAGCAACTACAGGTTCAAGAACTCGGCGTCCGAGGATTCCAACATGTTCAGCACGGTTGTGCCACCAACGGTGACTGAGATGAGCCCCAGGTGAAGCAACACCAGGCAGATGTAAATGTAATTGAGTAATTCCTTGCGTTGTGAACTGGCGACTATGTAGAGCTACCGATTTGACGGTATAAGAGAGTGAGTGCAATGTGTGTGGTGTTGTTTCCTCCTGCAAACGCGGCAACTAGATCTTTTACATATAGATTAGTGAATTCATGCCAGAGCAATGCAAGATTGCTGCTTATTGCACAGCTTGAGATCATTATCATATTAGTGCAGTAGCATATCATAGAGTATTCAGTTCAACTCTCAGTAACAGTTTCAGATCTGAACTTGAGATCACAGGCATCTCAGTGAAGACACTTGGACAAGAGGAAAACAGTAAAAATACAACTGCTGTGGTGATACTAATTATGAATGTTCTGCGCTGATATAAAGACATCCTGATGCAGATCTCTACAAAAGATCAGTACGGGACAAACAGGTCTGGAAATCATCAGAAATAAAACACGCTTCCATCAACTGACAGTAAGGCTCTTGTGTTTCTGTAAAGCTACCCTTTCCGGTCACTCCGACGCTGCAGGCTGCTCTTTCTCGGCCTCGGAGGGGCCATTGGCGGGGGTTTCTTGGCTTTCTGCAGGCTGCTTGGCGCCGTTTGCTGGGGCTGCCGCGCCTTCTTTGGCACCATCCTTTGCACCTTCTTTGGCGCCATCCTTTGCGCCCTCTTTAGCAGCAGGTGCTGGTGGAGGTTGCAACATATGTGGCGGTGGAGCATGCTTCAGCTTCACTAAGATATGGCGCATCCGGGAGAGGTCGGTGGGCTTGCCAGGCTTGGGGCCCTGAATAACTGTGATGGATGGCTTCTTGTCCTTGTCTTTCTTTCCCCGCTTCTCAATGGTGGCTATTTCATGTGGGATGAGATCTGAAATCGATTTCCAGTACTGCTTGTCTGCGTTGGCATGGAATTTCTCCTGGCTGGCTACAAAAATCTGCAGCATATCACAAGAGCAATTAGTAAAAAAGGGGCGTACCCAGTGCAGAGAGCTCCCGCTCTGTGCGAGGTCTGGGGAAGGGTGTCAGTGGCAAGCCTTACCCTCGCCTGTGCAATGCGAGGAGACCGCGACTCGAACCCGGGACCTTCCGGTCACAGGCGGTAAGACTCTACCGCTTGCACCAGGCCCGCCCTTCACAAGAGCAATTAGTATCCAACATATAAATAGATTAGCTTACAAACACAGACAAGAGCCCTAACTGCTTATATATGATAATCACAAACCTTCTCCCTTTCTCTGTTGTTGACCATATTTGACGCACAGTTCTGTATCCTCTTCTCAAAAAAAGCTTTCTTGAATTCTTCAGCTTCAGCAATTATTTGGGCACGTAGCTCCTTCTCCTTCTGTTCCTTTTTCTCAAGTTCAATAGCATTTTTCCTAAGAAAATTGTTGAAAAAGGAAGCAATAACAAATTAAAACTAGAGTGGCATAAAAAAAATCAAGGAAGATAAGAAAATGACATCGTTCGATTTGAGAGACATAAAAGACATGACAGTAACTTTGGTCTGTACAAAAGCACCCTACAATAGTTACAGGTTCCTTACAAAAATGACTTTACTGGGCTTTCCAGAAGATAATCATCAAATCTAAATCCAAATCAATGTCACTCCGAATATAGACAAATATGCTACTGCTACAAGCCTGGGACGATGTCCTGATGCAGCAGATCATACCAAACACACCTTAAATTATGACACAACACAATTCCAATACTCAAGAACTTCTATTAATTAACTACTAAAGTAAACTCAGAAGTCAATATAGGCGTGCACTAAACCAGAAAATAAGCGAGGCTGTATCAACAGACAACTGCTTCATAGACTATAATGCTAGGAAGCGCACACATTTTGCAAGGTAACAAATGACGAGTGGTAACAAAAGAATGTATGGATTTTCTCTGGGAGGTATACCTTCACTGATTTGAGGATTTCAAGAAAATCAACAGATATGAACATCTAAATCTAAAAGAATAAATGTGTCCACCTAGTGGTTACTTGGTCAGGACTGGAGTAATATCAACAAAGCATACGGTTGGAAGAATGAAGCACCAGACAAAGCATTAAGTGGTTGCAGAAGACCACTGGTGCATAGCTAACTAGTTATATTCACAACATGTGCATAAGTGCCATCATACATGTGCTAAGACATCCTACAATCAAGGTTTACCAGTATATCCTAGCAATGCATCAATCACCTGGAAGAGAACAATCCTATAGTAGGACTGTAAGTCTGTAACTATTATCTGATTCTTAGAGTACAAGGTAATCCAACAAAGAAGAATTCTCCTACCAATATGATTTTTGGAAGCTTAAATGATTGCATGCCACAAATTCATATTTTAGAAGGTTGATTTGGCCTATTCCTCTAGTTTCTGTGAGACTTGGTTCATAAAATACAAGTTTGATAAAATATAATAATAGGCTGTATAGGCAAGGACTGATACAAGATGAATTATGTCATGCTAGCTTAGGTTGAATTTTACTTTATATTGAGTAGCACACCAATTCTAGTTGTATATGCCTAAAGTTATTTTAAAAAAAAACGTTCCTAGGTTCCTTTGGTTGGAGTATGTCAAATAGAAACTTGAGCAATACATAGTTTCATTCTAATGAAATCTAGCTAACAGAAAAACACAAATTTCCAAGGAAAATTTGTCACTTTGTTTAATACCTCTGAATTGCTGTAAGAAACTAACTTCAGGGGTAAAAGCACAAGCAAATGACTTTTGAGCGCTGGGGCCATAGGCGCTAAGTGGTCATGGAAAATTACTGCACACTGTTATATTTGCAATTTTCATATTGTACCATATGGTGATGTGCATACAGTAGCTCCGCACATCCTACTGATATCAGTGGTAGTATGGCAAAAATAGAGATGCTAGCCGATACAACTATAGTTACAGCTATATGGTACCAACGATTCAAATACTTAATGGAGAACTAGAAGGCCCTAGAAGGCCTGCAGCTATACCCAAGTTCTCAGCTTAGAAACTAGTCCACGACAGGCTATTCCTTAACAGCAATTTCTAGAGTGTCCAAATTCTTAATGAACCGAAGTAATAGAAACCAACAATTTCCGTACAGAAACCCTCGCTGTGTTTCACCTCCGTAGTGCAGAAGAAGCGGCTAAAATTAGTCGAAAGAGCGCCAGAAAGCGTTAGATCTGACTCGAACACCCGGAAACCTAGCCCACACGCAAGCAAGCATACAAGCAGCAAAACGGCGCATCCCCCCAAACAGATCGGAACCGGTGCCGGCGGTGCTCACCTCCGCCACTCGCGGAGGAGGATGCCCTCCTCCCGCATCTCGGTGGGCGGCGGCAGGATCGGGCCGTCGCCGCCGTTGGGCTCGAGCTCGGGGGAGAACGGCGAGGGCGAGTAACCCCCAGAGACGTGGCGGATCGGGACCCCGTCTGACTCGACGGTGATCTCCTCGTCCACCTCCTCGACGCCCCCCTCGGCGAAGGGGCGTACCCACCGGCGCCGTCGCCGTCGGCCGCGGCGGCGCCGAAGTCGTCGGAGTCAAAGGGGTGGGAGGTGGTGCGCGGGAGGTCGTCGGCGCCGTCGTCGCCGAAGAAGGAGGCCATGGTGGGCGAGGGGGACGCGGAGATTTTGGGCGGCGCCGGCCTGGTGGTGGACTGGTGGTGCTGGTGCTGGTGCTGCGCGGGTGCGGGCGAGTGCTCGTGTGTATCTGGATGGGTGCGCTTTGCTTTGCTTGCTCCGCTAGGCTGATTAATAATGCGTTTTAAATTCGCGTGGTCGGTTAAAGATAATTGGAATTTGGCTCGCCATGGGCTTAAGAGTGGGGTTTTTTTTTTCTTTCAAGAAATTTCATAGGAACATAACTCTTTTTCGCGCAAGTTCTACACGACTTCAACAAAATAGATGGGTTACAAGTTAGATGCAAAAGGTCAGTGATCATTGTTTCTTTTTTGCCAAACACGAATATGAAGTGCTCCCTCGATTCCAAAAATATATTTTACTGTAGTTTTATCATAAATCAAACTTCACTAACATAGTTCAAATAAAAACACTGTGAAAACAAGTTTATGAAGAATTTAACAAAACCAATTATAGATATTGGTGCATTTCTTTAAACTTGATTGAAATTAGAGAAGTTTGACTTATCAAAGCAGTCAAACAAAACAAATGTGCTCCAATCATCCAAGCTGGATCTAAAGGGTCAATAATCCAAAGTTTATAGATAAGTCATGTTTTTTAATGGCGAGTAGTTTTTTCTTTAAAAAACTACAACTTTTTGGGCACTTATTATGAACTTTAACCATTTTGAAAATATATGCCACAAAACTACCTCTTCTCCCAAAAATTCAGGTATTTGATCTTGAAGAGCTATAATTTTTCATGGACAGAATATAGTTTTGCTTCAATGGTTGTTTTTTAAAAAAAAAAACTACTTAGAAACATGAGAAGAGATATATGGATACATCATGTAATGTTGTAGGGAAGGTTGCTTTTTATATGTGTGTGTATAATAACAACACGTTTCTTCCTAACTAATGGACGACCTCACGCGTTACTGCAGGAAGTGCGGATTGCGTGGTTGTAGGATCGAGATGACGGACTAAAGGGGAGGATAAATAGTCTTTTCTAAAATTAATCGCATCGGCTTACCGAAACAAGTGTGGAATAAAATTGTCGGTCTAGCCAAAACTACACCACTCTATCTAAGTTAACAAGCACCTTATAAAAATCCTAATTAGATAACAAAGATGACGGGCTAGCTAGATCTTACCTAACCAATTTTAGAAGCAAGGTCACACAAACCTATGCCACTATTACTTCAAGCAAACCGGGGAGCACCTACACAATCTAGTAAGCAAAAGCACAAAGTCACCTAAGCTCACTAGTAATGCTCAATAACAAGGCTACACAAGCTAAATTATAGAGCGCAAAATACTTAGCTACACAATCTAAGCAATGTGACTAACAAGGTTACTCAAATCGAATTAGTCACGTAAGGGAGCTACTTCTATGCTACACAATCAAGAAAGTAACTAGCAAGCTACACAAACTAACTAATTACAAAAGCAACTACATAAGCACAATATAAATAAATAAAATACAAGCTTATGTAACGAGGATACAAACTAACAAAAATACAAGGACGACATGGTGATTTTTATCCCGAGCTTCACATACTTGCCAACACGCTAGTCCCTGTTGAGACAAGCTCTAAGGTTGCCGCCGGTTCTCTTGCTAGTGGTGACCCGCAAGTCACACTCTCCCACATGAAGTGCTTACCACAAGCTCTAGCACTTGACCTCGCTGGACCACTTGTCGCCCTTCGCGTCTCGCTCTACTAGAGTTGTTCTTCGCGGCTCCCGTGGGGTGAGCACAATACCCCTCACAATGTCATCTCCGAAGTACCGCACAATCTTCTTTGCATGCTTCAACAGAGACCACCACCAAGCCGTCTAGGAGGTGGCAACCTCTAAGAGTAACAAGCACCACCGGCTTGCAACTCGAGTACCTAGTGCCACTCGATGCAATCTCACAATGCAACGCACTAGAATCACACTCACTCGCAATTGATTCATACTCTTGCAAGGACAAGTGAGTTAGAGGGCATCAAACACTCCTACACAAGCCACATACGGCGTTAGGGTGCTCAGCTAACGGCCAAAGGCTGACCAAGGGGCTATTTATAAGCCCCCACACGAAAAGAGCCGTTGTACTCCTTCACTGGGCACAACTCGGGGTGACCGGACGCGCCGGTCAAGATGATCGGACGCACCCGGCCAGGGTCTGGTAGCGCTACGCTATCCACGTGTCGTTCTACGTTCAACCGGAGCCGCTCGATCTCAACGGTAACTTCACGCGCCAACGATCAAGACGACCAGACACGCCCGAGCCGCGTCAAATCGCCGCCGTGCGCGCAACCAACACTTGACCGGACGCGCCTCTGCTCCATGACCTGGCGCGCCACCGCCTGAGTCCGGTCGTTTCCAGTGAGCTCCTCGAGCCTCTATTTTGTGACCGGACGCGTCAAGTGAGTCACGATCGGACGCAACACTTGAGTCCGGTCCTTCACCGCCTGCCACGTGTTAGAGCTACGCCCACACCATTGCGTCAGCATATGTCAGAGATGACCGGACGCGGCTCCTGCGCATCAGGTCACTCTTTGCGCCAGCGTCCAGTCACAAGACCGAGACCGCGCGCTCTCTGCTGCCACTTGACCTAACGCGCAGGTCCTGCCGAGGCCAGCGTTCGGTCACTCACAGTGACCTCCTTTCGCCTCCTTTTATTCACCGAGTTGATCCATTTCAACTCCAACTTCTTTCTCCTTTACAAATGTGCCAACACCACTAAATGTATGTGTGTTAGCATTTTTATAATCATTTTTAAGGAATTAGCCACTCAACTTGTTACGCCACTCGATCCTAGCAACGATGCAAAGTTAGATCACTCGAGTGGCACTAGATGACCGATATGCAAACAAGTTTGTCCCTCTTGATAGTATATACATCTATCCTAAATCCGGTCATCAACTTCTCTACACACCTATGACTGGTGAAATAAAATATCCTAGGTTATACCTTTGCCTTGTGCATTCCATTCCATCTTCTCTAATGTCGATGCAACACATGCACCAACATAATCGACAATGATATGATCTACTCCATATCATCACGTGACCATATTGGTTCATCGATCTTGACTTCACTTGCTCTTCACCGTTGCTTCGGTCCATCGGCGCCAAGTCATCACTCAACTTGCCCTTCACACTTGCAACCGGTCCGTCGAGCTAAGTCATGTCTTGATCTTCCTTACTTTGATCACATGATTCAATGCCATGTCTCATGTCCAATGAGCTCCTTCATTACATATTCACCTGTGGACTAATCTCCCGTGTATTCTCACATAACCACGTATTAGTCTACCTAGGTTGTCACTCATTTACCAAAACCAAACAAGGACCTTTCAGTGGTATAATGATGTGGACAATAAAATATTTATGTGTCTTGCTGACATATATTACAGTTATATGTGCTAGTGGATTTTAATTGTATGTGGTAATGCATGTTTAGATAAATAGCTAGTGGAGTTTTGCTTAGTGAATGTTAATTGTATGTGATAGTGCATTGTCTAGTTTTTTTTAACTTGCATTGCCTAGTCGGATAGCTTGCATGATGAGAAAAATAGTTAGTGAGGTTTTGCTTTATAAGAGTATAAGATATGTGAGGAGGAATAAAGAATACAATTCGTTTGTGTATCGGTTGGGTGGATTATTTTGCTGGTCATGGGCTTAAATTTGTGTTTTTTCTGCAGTGTTATGGATTAAGCCCGATAGGCTTGGATTATTGCATTCACTTTTCTCGGTCACATTTCATGTTTTTGCGCTCTCGATGATGTATTTGCTCTTTAGAATCGCGTCCAAATTTGAGATATTACATAGGAACATAACACTTTTTGTACAAGTTCTACACGGCTTCACAAAATGTAAATGTGCTCCAAGTGAGATGTAAAAGGGGAAATTCGAAGTTGGAACATGGAGAACAACATCATTTAAGTGCTAGAACCATATCTTCTAACATGATAGGATAACTTATGTTAAATCATTTTCTAAGGGAATTACTATATTGATTTTTTAGGTTTCAATTTAACTAGTACAATTAAAAGGATAAGTGGTTTTCTAAAGTAGTCTTTTCGTTCTAAACTTTACCATGCATAAAAAGTATTGTATTATGTAGTAAAAGACATGTATTATGATGTACTCTCTCAATTCCAAATTATAAGTCATTTTAAGAATCTTGAAGAGTCAAAGCATCTCAGATTTGATCAAAATTATAGAAAAAATTAAAAAGATTTATAACATCAAATAGGTATAATATAAAAATATAATTAATGAAGAATCTAATAATGCTTAGTTGGTACCATAAATATTATTATTTTATCATATAAATTTGATCAAACTTGAGAATCTTTGACTCTCCAAGAGTCTTGGAAGGACTTATGGTTTGGAATGAAGAGAGTACCATATATCTAGAACAGTTAGAACGACTTATAATTTAGAACCGAAGGAATATACTCTCTACAAATGAAAACATGTATGATAGGAGATTGCACGTATATGTACGCGTGAGCTTGGTTACATGTGCGTATAGAACAGCTCGTCCTCCTAATATACGAGGGAAAGAACAAAGAATACAGTATTCATTTTTCGCGCAAAAGAAAAGAATACTCTGCGTGTCTAATACGGTTTTGCTGTTCGCGCAGCAACGCTCAGCTCAACGCGTGCGACACTACCTCTTGTGCTCAAGCCGCTCGGCATCGCCGAGCTCCACCTCGCCGGAGCCGCCGTGCGTCACGCTCACACCGCCGCCACCAAACAGCGACTCGATCTCCTCCAGTGTCTTGCCGCTCGTCTCGGGCACGCACAGGTGCACGAACGCCACCGACAGCGCCGACACGGCCGCAAACGCGGCGAACGCGCCCGCGACGGTCACGGCGCGGCAGATGGAGAGGAATGACATGGCCACGGCGCCGCTGGCCATCCGGTTGAGCGCGAAGCCGGCCGCCACGGCCTGCGCGCGCAGCCGCAGCGGGTAGATCTCCGAGCTCAGCACCATGTTGATGGGCCCCATCCCCACTGAGAAGAAAGCCACGAAGCCGCACACCGTGAGGATGGCGAGCCCGACGGCGACGCCGCCCGGCAGCGCGCCGCTCTTCAGCAGAGACAGCGACGCGGCCAGCAAGGCGAGGCACGCCGTCATGCCGGCCGTGCTGACGTACAGCAGCGGCTTCCGGCCGACGCGGTCGACGAGGACGATGGCGATCACGATGAACACCGTCTTGACCACGCCCACCACGACGGTGGCGCCCAGGAGCTGGCTCTCCGTCGTGATGCCGGAGTCGCGGAATATGGTCGGGCTGTAGTACACCAGCGCGTCAATGCCGGTGGCCTGCTGGAAGAACTGGACGCCCAGTCCCGTGACCAGCATCCTGCGGATGACCGGTGACGACCTCAGCAGCTCTCTGTTGTAAAGAATAAGCATGTCGTGTTTAGCATTGGATGCTAGTTTTCTATTTCTGGTACATCCTAGTTTTCAGCTAGAGTTTGGCTTGGTCACGGTGACCATGCCGAGTCGTGTGCGTCTGGGCGTTTTTTCATGGCGCACGTCGCCCACGTTCTGTGGCCGTGGGATGGCACGGCGAATCCGCAGGGCGTGGGCGCGGGCGATCGTTGAAGACCGCTCATCTTGTATTCGTGTGCAAATAAAAGGAAAGAAAAACAAGAAAAGGCAGTGAGTTGAGTTGCGCTGCGCCAATCCTGTGTCTCGACCCTTGAACGCGAGTTCATCCGTTTCATGCTGAGTTCGTCGAGAGCCTGAGAGGAAAGAGCGAGCGTCCCAACGACAATTGAGATCGATCCTAGTTCAACAACTGGCATCAGAGCCCGATTTCGTCGCTGGGATCGTCATCAAGCGATCACCGCAGCGTTCATGCCGAGGAATTCGCGGAATTCCCGATCGCCGGGGCGCCGGCGGTCTTGGAGTCCACCCGGCGGCCGTGCAGGAGGCAGCGGCGGGGGTGACCGTGGGCTAGTGCTTCACCGCACGGTCAAGGACATCGGCAATGCGGGGTGGCCTATGTTGACGAGAACTAACTACACCGACTGGGCGGCGCTGATGAAGGTGATGCTGCAGGGCCGGTACCTGTGGGACGCCATCAACGTCGGCACCAACGATTTCACCGACGACCGCAATGCGCTGGAGGCATTGTGCAAGTCGGTGCCGGAGGAGCTCCGAGGGAGCATGGCCAACAAGACCACGGCGAAGGCCGCGTGGGACGCGTTGAAGACGCGGCACATCGGCGTGGATCGTGTGAGGAAGGCCAGGGCGCAGTCGCTGCGTCAGGAGTTCGGCGACCTCGTCTTCAAGGAGGGCGAGTCCATCGACGACTTCGCGTATCGCATCACCAAGATCACCGATCAGCTCGCCGTCTTGGGTGACGTGATGGAGGAGGAGACGATCGTCTGCAAGTTCTTGCAGGTCGTCCCCGATCGGTTCGGTCAGATCGCGGCGTCGATCGAGACCCTCCTCGATCTCGAGGCGGTCTCACTGGAGGAGCTGGTGGGGCGGCTCAAGGCAGTTGAGGAGCGCCTAGATCGAAGGAGAGGCCGAGGCGGCGCTTCCGGCAACGGCGGCGCCGAAAAGGAGATCGACGGCAAGCTCTACTTCACCGAAGAGCAGATGCTGGCCCGGTTTGCGTCCCGCCTCAACCTCAACAACGACGGGCCGGGCGCGCATGGCAGGGCGCAATCTGGCTCGGGCGCGCGCCGTGGCGGAGGTGGCCGCGGCAGGGGGCGCGGCAGGGGGCAGCCGCGCTCGGGGCCGTCCAAGGGCGGCAACAATGGCAACGGCGACGACGACGCGTGCCACTACTGCGGCAAGTCCGGGCACTGGAAGCGGGAGTGCCATAAGAAGAAGCATGACGAGGAGAAGGCGGCAGCAAGCCAGCCGCAAGCCAACCTTGCCCAGGCGGAGGAGGAGTCGCCCTCCCTATACATGGCAGTGGTGACCCCGGCGGAGGACAACGTCCGCCGTATGCACCACGTCGAACACGTCTTCCTCAACGAGCGCAAGCTCGTGCCAGACATGGAGGAGGGTACCATGCACGGGGAGATGAAGTGGTACCTCGACACCGGGGCATCAAACCACATGACGGGCGATGCAAGCATCTTCTCCGAGCTGAACCATGGCGTCATCGGATCCGTGAAATTCGGTGATGGTTCACTGGTGTAGATCGCGGGGCGTGGGACTGTGTTGTTCGAGTCAAAGGACGGTTGTCACCGGGCGTTCCACGACGTCTATCACATCCCGCGGCTCCGGAGCAGCATCCTCAGCATCGGCCAGCTGGACGAGAACGGCTGCAAGATCGACATTGACGACGACGTTCTTGGGATGTGGGATCGTGGGAGCCGGGAGCTGTTGGCCAAGGTGAGGCGCACAGCGAACCACCTCTACATCCTTCCACTCAAGCCCACCAGGCCAGTGTGCCTAGCCACGAGCTACAACGACGACTAGTGGAGGTGGCACGCCCGTTTTGGCCACCTGGGGTTCCAAGCCCTGCAGAAGATGAGCAGCAGTGGCATGGTGCGCGGACTACCCTCCATCGAGCATGTCGAGCACGTATGCGATGCGTGCCTGGCGGGGAAGCAGCGTCGAGCATCATTCCCGCAGGCGGCCAAGTATCGCGCCACGAAGCCCCTTGAGCTGCTCCATGGCGACCTATGCGGCGCGGTGACACCTCCAACACCTGGTGGTAAGAAGTACATCATGCTCATCGTGGATGACATGTCCAGGTTCTTGTGGGCGACCTTGCTCGCCAACAAGTCCGACGCCAAGCGGCGTTCAGCGTCTGCCTACTACGGCGTCGAGAACGGCAGTCGGCGGATCCGGCGTTCGCTCGACCGATCATGGGGGAGTTCGTGTCGATGAGCTTCCTCGAGTACTGCTCTGAGCACGGCATCAAGCGACACCTGACCGCGCCGTATACTCCACAACAAAACGGCGTGGTCGAACGGAGGAACCAGACCGTGCTCGCCATGGCGCGGAGCATGATGAAGGCCAAGAACATTCTAGCGTGGCTTTGGGGGGAGGCTATAATGATGGCCGTGTTCCTCCTCAATCGCGCCCCCACGCGGAGCCAGGTGGGGCGGACGCCATATGAGGCATGGTACGGTACCAAGCCGGCAGTTCACTTCCTGCGCGTGTTCGGCTACGTCGCCCATGTCAAGATCACGAAGCCGAACGCCGGGAAGCTGGATGACCGAAGCAAGAAGATGGTGATGATCGGCTACGAGGAAGGCTCTAAGGCGTACAGGGTGTTTGACCCTACCCCGAGCCGCGTGCACGTCACGCGCGACGCGGTGTTCGAAGAGGGCGCAGCCTAGGACCGGAGCTCGCCCAAAAACAGCAACAACGGAGCGACGGGCTACAGTATCGAGCAAGGTGAGTTCGAGGTGGAGGACGAATGGGAGATTCCTGGCGAGGAGATCGTCGCTGCCACACCGGCGGGACACGGATCCGCAGGGACATCACCATTAAGCGGCACTGCATCACCTGCGGCCCCTGCGCCATCGCCCCCACCTCCATCACCACCGGCAACCACGGCACCGGGACCTGCATCAACGACGTCCTCGGCCACCACATCGCCACGCACGCCATGGGTACAGGGTGGTCCCATACCCTGGCAAGGAGAGTTGCCACAGAAGAGTCGGGCCCTCAGCCGAGTTCGTGTCTCCGACCTCTGGAGCCACAGAGACACCGGACGCCGACGACGATAGCAACGCCACCCATCGCCGGTGGTCGTCCGACAACTGCTTGTCAGACGACGACAACGAGCTCGTGGCGGACGGCGATCTGCTCCTCCTTGTTTGGACCATGAGCACGCCACCTATGATGAGGCTGCGCAGCGCGAAGGAGTGGCAACAGCGATGGTGGAAGAGCTCAAGTCGATCACCGACAACAAGACTTGGACACTCACCGATGCGCCACATGGTACAAAACCCATTGGGCTCAAATGGGTATTCAAGATTAAGCGCGACGCGGAAGGGAACATCACTAGGCACAAGGCTCGCTTGGTGGCCAAGGGATATGTGCAACGCGCAGCGTGATTTCGATGAGGTATTCGCGCGGTAGCTCTCCTCGAGTCGGTGCGGTTCCTCCTTGCCATCGCAGCACATCATGGGTGGACGATTGCACCACCTCGACGTCAAGTCCGCATTCTTGAATGGTGATCTGGCGAGAAGAGGTTTACGTTGAGCAACCCGCTGGGTTTCAGCATCCGAGGTAAGGAGCGGAAGGTCTACAGCTGCACAAAGCGTTGTATGGACTCCGGCAAGCCCCACGAGCCCGAACGCCAAGTTGGACAGCTCACCGCAAGCTTGGGTTCAGGTGCAGCCGCGGCGAGCACGCCGTAGGTATGTATGGAAGCCGGCAACGACTTCATCGCTAGTGGGAGTCTATGTTGATGATCTCGTCGTGGTCGGTGCAAACCAAAGGAGGTCGATCGGTTCAAGAAGGAGATGGCCACACTATTCAAAGATGAGTGATCTCGATCCTCTCCATTACTATCTGGGGATTGAAGTTCAGCAGAGCACAAACGGGATTAGTCTCTGTCCGAGTGCATACGCAGAAAGATCATCGAGAGGGTGGACTCAAGGGTGCAACCCATGCAAAGACTCCCATGGAGCCAAGATCAAATCCGAGCAAGTCTAGTTCCAATCCACCAGATTGATGCTACTCACCACTGCAGTTGTCGCCGGGAGTTTGCGGTACTGGTACATACAGACGGACATTGCCTTGGCAGGTGGGCATGGTGAGCGGAGGTACATGGAAGCGCCAACAACGGAGCACCGGAGCGCCATAAAACATCTTCTCCGGTACATTGCAGGTCAAGCTCTCATGGTCGTGTCTCATGAGACACGGTGAGGGTGCGCTGGAGTTGATTAGCTCTGCTGACGCCGATCTCGGCGGTGACCATGATGATCGAAAAGAGCACTTCAGGGCTCTCTTCTTCCTCGGACAGAGCCACAATGAGTCGGCAATCCACAGAAACAACGAGTGGTGGCGTTGTCACCATGCGAGGCGGAGTACATCGCCGGAGGTACCGCGGCATGTCAGGGAGTCTGGCTCTGAAAGGTCCTAATATGGCTAGAGGGGGGTGAATAGCCTATTTAAAAATCTACAAATCAACTAGAGCAATTTGATTAGTATGACAAATAGCGTAATGCAAACTTGCTCTAGCTCTACAAGGGTTGCAAGCCACCTATCCAACAATTCTAGTTGCAATGAATACTTAGGCACACGGACTAGCTATGTAATTACTCACTAAGAGCTCTCAACCTTGCTACTCTAAAGAGCTCAACTAGATGAATGTAAATAATAAAGCAAGCTCTCAATTCTAATTACACTAAAGAGCTTGTATCAACTAGTTTGCAAGAATGTAAATGAGCGAGTAGAGTGATTATACCAACGTGTGGGGATGAACC